GATGGAAAGTATCATCTTCACAGGCTTCTACTTCCATAATTTAATAGGAAGAATAGCAAACTTATCACCAAATTTCCTTGCAAGTGCTCTTTTCCAAGTAGGGTGAATGACAGCGTTATTCAATTGTGCTGTTTTTCAACGCCTATAGAATCCGAGATTTTAAAGCCACATCAAAACTCCAAAGGCAAGCTATTTTAAAGCCACATCAAAACTCCAAAGGCACGTAGTGCAGACATCGCTTCCGATGTCATCGACGTACCCTTCTCTAGCACAGACAGCAGCTTGCACATGTGGGTATGGATCCAAGAAAAACTTTTCAGTTCCTCTGAGGTGAACTCAGCCTAGGCCTGATCTCGTGTGTCTTGGATGCAATGCAAAGACTCCTGTTGGATGTTGAGGCAGATCCTGTCCCACTGGGTCATTTGGGTTATTTTTAAATTCCTAAATACTGAAAATTAGATGGAAAGTATCATCTTCACAGGCTTCTACTTCCATAATTTAATAGGAAGAATAGCAAACTTATCACCAAATTTCCTTGCAAGTGCTCTTTTCCAAGTAGGGTGAATGATAGCGTTATTCAACTGTGCTGTTTTTCAATGCCTATAGAATCATAGAATGGTTGGAGTTGGACAGCGTTATTCAATTGTGCTGTTTTTCAACGCCTATAGAATCCCAGAATGGTTAGAGTTGGAAGGGACCTCAAAGATCATCGAATTCCACCTCCCTGCCCTGGGCAGGGACACCTCCCACCAGACCAGGTTGCTCTAAGCCCCATCCAGCCTGGCCTTGAACCCCTCCAGGGATGGGGCAGCCACAGCTGCTCTGGGCACCCTGTTCCAGTGCCTCACCACCCTCACAAAGGTGGTGAGGCAAAGAATTTCTTCCTAATATCTCATCTAAATCTCCCTTCTTTCCATTTAAAACCATTACCCCTCATCCTATCGTCCTATCTTTGTTTTTGCTGGTGCCCTTAAACCCCCTTGTGCTTTCCCAAACGTATAGTTATTCCCTTACAAGGCTGGCAGATACTAAGCAAATACAGATAATTGTTCCTCCAATTAAACTGGTGCTGGAAATAGGGACCGACGTAAACAGGAAGAGGGAACTGTGCCAGAAATTAATCTATTTCTTAATTTCTCCATTAAGCTATAGCTGTCATCCCAGCCAATACTTATATTACTCTAATTAAAAAGACATTAGGAGAGCGAGGGCTCACAAACTCCACCTCTCCTCCCACTGATGGCTTCCCATCTGCTGCCTTTGCCGGGATCGCCAGTGCCCAAGCTGAGAGTCTACGGGACAAGTTTGGGGAATTTCCTTCCCGCTTCCTACCCGCCAGCCCTTTTGCACCCAGATGGATTTTGGTGGTTCTTTTGGCTCTTCGGCCCATCTGACAAACATATGAGAAGAGCTGCAAGGTTCACAACACACTCTTTGTGTCTTTTTGGTTATCGTTAACTAAAAAGAAAGGCCATGCGAGTGCAGAAGGTGCAGTATAAAACAAAGGGCTTGCAAAATGCTTCATTTTGGATACACGGGAGGGAAACAGCCTCCAGTAGAGGTTCTACGTGTGTCCCGGTTTAAAATATAATTCCTATAACTGATTTTCTTCTGCTGTTGTGTATTTTTGCTTCACAACTCCATTGCGAAAGAACGTTTGAAAGGTTTCTGCTACACTGACTCCTAAACAAATCACAACTAACTCTGCACTAAAAATGTTTGGCATAGGAATACCAGGAGATCTTTTTTCCATAAATAACTTGTGTGATTAAAACGATGAACGCCACATGTGATAAAATCTAATTAAAGGGTGGGGTGTTTGTTTTTTTTTAATAAAACATTGCTGTGTGCCTTAGTGTAAACACGCAGCGTACTGCAAAAAGCACATGGGCTACAGCGGCCACAGGCAGAACTCATGTAACATAAAGCTCACCCAGAAGCTGATTTTTATAAGCAATGGATGAATGTGCACCCTCTTCCCCAGTGAAGGACTAAATCCAAAGCGCAAGGTTTACACGCTGTTCTTTGTCTCATCTGGAAGAGACCTTTTAAAAGCCAGGAATGACTTCCAGGAGCCACCACGTCCTAGAGCACAAGCTCGTCTCTAGCTGAGACCTTATTTTGATTGTGCCATAACTCTTTTTTTTTTCTTTTTTCTGCATTTCTACCTATTCACTCTAGGCTTGCATAGCCTGCATTGAGATTTGGGTGCTTGAGTGAGGCTAACTTCTCCATATAGGATATACAGTTACAGGAGAGAAAAGGGTGCTCTGAAGTACCGCTAGGAGCAGGACTCCACTCTGTTGACTATACAGGGCATACGCAGGGAAACTAATTTAAGAAACTAAATTAGGTACTTAAACACAGGGCTGTAAATAGTGCTCAGGCCTCCCCAAGGATTTGGAAGGATCCTGCACGCCCTGTCCCTGTCAAGTCTCCATCCTGCTAACAAACACTGGTTCTTATCTCAAATGCCTCCGTGCAACTCAAAAGGTTTATCTGGGAGGTCGAGGAAATGCCCCCACAGGTACACACTGTTTGCTGCCATAGCCTAAATCGTGCCTCTGGTTTGCTTTTCTTGAAGTAGTCCATGCTGAGACTGAGAGGGAAACTAAGGTTCTTTCCTAAAAATGACAATAAAGGAGAAAAAAGTGTCCAGTAACAGCTGGAAACGTCGCTGCAAACTTAGCTCAGCACATTTTTCATAGGGGATGAGGAGAAGGGAGGGGAGGCAGGGGACTGAGGAATTGCTTTTCTTCAATTTAAAATGTGGTTTGGTTTCTTCCTCCGCACATAGAGGAGAGTGGTAGAAACAGAGCCAGCGCTGCATTTTCAGCTAATGAATTTTGTTAATGAAAAGCTGGTGATCTATCTAATAGACTGCACCTTGTGACAAGTACTTATGGTTTACATCGCTTTGGCACATCTGAATCCAGCTGTCCATGTAGAATGAGGACCAAACTTCTGTTAAACAAGACTCCCCTGAGGAGCCAAAGTATCAAGAGTCAGTTGAACGTGCTGCAGAAGGCAGTTAATTTACTTTCTTCCTGGGAGGTATTTAATACAACCTCCAGCATCTCCCGTGCGTTGTACCTATGGACCTAAATTTGTTAAGACACTTATGCAGCAGTGAGAGATGCACTTGTTAAAAACTTGGAAAGATTCATCACTGAATCTTGAAATCTTGACATTGAAAATGCTGCGAAATGTATTATGCATTAAAATGTATTATGTTTTATTAAAAAAAAACCCCTTCTCAATCCTTGTGATTTCCCTTCTGCTATTTAGACGTGCCCTTCCTTTCGAGACTCTTAACTTGAGAAAAAACATGCGATCCTACAGTGACCTGCATCATCTTTTTGGGGGGGATATTTAATTTAGGTTTTGGACTGTGGCCTAATTGAAATATAGTAATTTTTTTTTTCCCCAGAGTGATAGAAGAAACTGCCAAATACCTCTGAAGACTTACTTACCTGATGCAATAGCTGCAAAATTCAAATTATCGTAATGTGAAATGTCAGGTGGGGAACAGTTTCCATAAGCTAGAATACTGAAGGATTACTTTTCACCAAAGAGCCTTCCTATCACCCTTCACCACATTTTGTGGGACTGTGCCCCCCGTGTACAGCACATACATCTGGGAAAGCTTCACGCTGCATTTAGTGGAGGACACCACTGGGTCTGCAGGAAGATGTACTTACCTGATGTAATAGCTGCAAAATTCAAATTACTGTAATGTGAAATGTCAGGTGGGGAACAGTTTCCATAAGCTAGAGTATTGAAGGATTACTTTTCACCAAAGAGCCTTCCTATCACCCTTCACCACATTTTGTGGGACTGTGCCCCCCGTGTACAGCACATACATCTGGGAAAGCTTCACGCTGCATTTAGTGGAGGACACCACTGGGTCTGCAGCCTCGGAGAGGTGGAAGGAGGAGTGCTGTTGGACACAAGTTCTCAGTTGTCATCATCAAGAGGTTGCATGTGTTTCCACAGCAATTACAGCACTGCTTAATTTGCACAGAGGCTCAAAATACCCCCACATCATCCCCCAGCAAAACTGCCAGCACCTGAGGCTCTACAAAGTGCAAAAATTAACACAGAAAGGATACATCCTCATGAAACTGGAAGAACATCACGGCCTATTACATACACGGCTGTTGGCCGACTTCTTAACTCTTCGCGGAATGAAAAGTCACTTGGATGATTAGGAACAAAGGAAAACGTAGAAGCAAACACACAAAACAAAAGCCCCAACCGTAACGACATTTCGGTGAGAGAAATAACCCCAGAGAAGCTGTAGTGCACATTCTGGCTGTGTCTTTGGTAAGGCATGGCAACGGGGAAGACTAAGCTGTGCAGGAGGATGCGGAGGGCAGCGGTGTGTTATGCATGCACATTGTCTCACAGCCTCCCCTGGGGAGTGGTTAGTGCCCGGCCACACATTCCTGCACCTCACACCATTAGTGTCCACCGTGATACGCGTGTCGGGATGGCTCAGGGATTAATTAATTGACGGTTAGAAGCTGCGGGTGTCCGAAAATGCCTTGTGGAGGTGAGAGGTTGATGCGTTCTGTGCTTTGCCGACGCCTGGATGCGTGCAACTGCCAGGTCACAGCTGCCTGCTGCTCCCAGCACCCCCTTGGCTGGGGTTTATTTTAGGAGAATTACCACGTCTTGATTCGCTAAGAATTCTTGGGCAGGCCACACAAAACACAACCAACACTGACATCAGATGGAGTTTAGAAAAAAAAGAAAACAAACAACAAAAAAACTAAACCAAAACAAAACCAACAAAAGATCATCTTCAAATGAAGCTTGATTAAAAGTGTTGTTGAAAAGGTGCTCAAATTACCTGAAACCGCTTTGTTTGATCTTAAAACATGGACCGGGGGCAGCTGCAACGAGCTCCGAGCTTTGGCACATTCCATTATATGAATGGTAGTGGATTTATAATGGAATGGTATGGATGGGTTTTATAATCAGAAAAACACACTGACCTTAACACTACACAGGTGGAGCAGCATAATGACCCGCCAATTGTAAGCGCATCAATTCCTGGGGAAAAGTTCAATGAGGTTAACTCAGCATGTATCCCATAACCAACATAAGCCACATTTTAAAACATTGCTTTTTTTTTTTTTTTTCCGACGAAAAACCTGTCTCTTTGCCAACATTGTATTCATTTATTTACTTCACTCTTTGGCACTGAGCATCTTACCCACGTTAACAGCGTATTGCATTAGGTTCCACCAGACCTGGACGCTGTCACACGCTTCAATGTTGAAATAACAGGTGATTAAAACATGAGAACGGTGTTAACTACAATAAACTTTTCAGACCCTGTAAGATTAAGCATCATAATCATTTAACTTACAAACGGAACGAAAACAAGAGGCCTGGGTATAACAAGAAACACCATCAATGGATCTTCACCTTGTAAAACCCTCGCAGGGAGTCAGCTGAGATGGGCAGCAGCTGAGCAGCATTTCTGCTTCCCACCGATTTACTGCTGCCCTTGGATACTTGTGGGGACCAGAAGCAAAGGAAGTTAATTTCAAAGTACAATATGCAAGCTGACTGGGTGTCCAACACAAAATCCAGTGAACGAACCATATCAACATCAAGTAGTATTTTAAAAACCCCACGCGTTACAAAACGACACAGAGAGAAGCGATGAAGCAAGGAGAAACTTCAACCTGAACCTGGGAGAACCGAGCAAGGCCAGAAAGTTGTCATAGAATCATGAAATCATAGAATTGTCCAGGTTGGAAGGAACCTTTCAGATCATCTAGTCCAACCATCAACCTCACTCTGATAAAACCCATCACTAACCCATGTCTCTAAGCACTAGGGCAACCCGGCTTTTCAATCCCTCCAGGGATGGGGCCTCAACCCCTTCCCTGGGCAGCCCATCCCAAGGCTTAAGAACCCTTTCCCTGGAAACATTTGTCCCAATCTCCAATCTGAACCTCCCCTGGTGCAACTGGAGGCCATTTCCTCTTGTCCAAACATGTAATAAGAAAACTTGAAATTAAAAAAAGGTTCACTTCCACAATTCAGCCACAACAGCAACACTTATGTCTGTATTTCAGCTTGGGTCTCCCTCCTTCTCTTCCATGACCACAGCACTAGCAGAGAAGGCACCCCAGCAATGAAAGAGTCCAATACTCCCACCTCCTCACCTCTGGATGCTGCTGTCCCACCCTCACGTTCATTCCCACCAGCAGTTTCTGCCGTAGGCTCAGCGGCAGCTGAGAAGGCAAAAAAATAATAAAAAGTTCTCTAACAGCATGAGCGAAACCACTACTAAATTTATCAATTCAACCAGAGCGCAAAAGTGGACACAAAAACCAAAAATGACGGGTGGAAGAAGTTCTACCATTCGGAAACGTTCAGCTAAAAAAAGACTTATGAAAGCAAACAATCCCATTTGATCATACTCGCCTGAGATGAAAAGACATTCAAAACACATAAACCTGGAAACGTTCAGCTAAAAAAAGATTTATGAAAGCAATCCCATTTGATCATACTCGCCCGAGATGAAAAGACATTCAAAACACATAAACCCCATGAAATTAAACAAAATAAAAGTACACATTGCTTCGTCATCTCCCTCCACCCTTCAAAAGGCACTAAATCTCACGGATATAATCCGTTTCAGTCCCAAATTTACCAACCGCCTACAGTCTGGTGACCCTTGGCTTTTAGGGACAAAGCCTCTTCACATGTGAAATGAAGCAGGGTGATCCCCAGGTCGGGCAAAGAGCCACGGCATCTTTAGTGACAAATCCCAAAGAAGTTAATCCACGCGCACGCTTTCTCCCAGCTGCCCGCTAGGGCTGCGGGCAACAAAAGGCTCTTCCAAAGAAGCAGGACCGTAAAACCGCGTCTCGCAACCACAGTCACCAAAGATTTTCTTCAGCCACACAGAAGCTGGTTTTCCACCTAAAAGCTTCACCCATAGCGAGATGTAATATCGGATTTTCATCAATGTTTCTGCTGTTAGCGATTTGGGGGAAAAAAAAAACAAAAGCACAGGGCTCTTCCTAATCCCATTCTAATGTAGTTTCATAGGGAAGAAGTTTCGTTCTCCATGGGCAACGTGAAAAACCCCACAGCTCTGCTCCTACCTTCAAAGTCCCCCTTCAAAGCCCCACAACACCATACCACCAGGTTATGCAGAGCAGGGACCAAAGGAAAACCCTGGAGCAAAAGGAAGAGCTCTTGGACACACATCCCTCTCCCTCCTGCTGTGCTGAGTGTGGCTGCAGCGACAACACAGCCCCCAGGTGTTGCAATAAACTGAGGTTTCACCCCTTCTCCTTCCTCAAAGCATCTCGGCGTCACAGAGCTCAGGTCCCTCAGGTTGTGAACGGGAAGCAAAAATAAAGCGATGCACCCACCTCCCTAAACTGCCTGGCTCACACACAGCATCACAGAACTGTCCGGGTTGGAAGGGACCTTTCAGATCATCTAGTCCAACCATCAACCTCACTCTGATCAAACCCATCACTAACCCATGTCTCTAAGCACTAGGGCAACCCGGCTTTTCAATCCCTCCAGGGATGGGGCCTCAACCCCTTCCCTGGGCAGCCCAGTCCAAGGCTTAAGAACCCTTTTCCTGGAAACATTTGTCCCAATCTCCAATCTGAACCTCCCCTGGCGCAACTGGAGGCCATTTCCTCTTGTCCCATGGCCTGTTCCTTGGGAGAAGAGACCGACCCCCCCTGGCTACACCCTCCTTTCAGGGAGTTGGAGAGAGCCAGAAGGTCTCCCCTCAGCCTCCTTTTCTCCAGGCTCAACACCCCCAGCTCCCTCAGCCTCTCCTCACAAGACTTCTTCTCCAGACCCCTCACCAGCTCCGTTGCCCTTCTCTGGACCCGCTCCAGCCCCTCAATGGCTTTTTTGTGGTGAGGGGCCCCAAACTGGACCCAGCCCTCAAGGTGGGGCCTCCCTAGTGCCCAGTACAGGGGTACAATCACCTCCTGAGTCCTACTCCCCACACTGCTCCTGACACAGGCCAGGATGCTGGTGGCCACCTTGGCCACCTGGGCACACTGCTGGCTCCTGTTCAGCCGACAGGCGACCAACATCATGGCAAACCTCAACTGCGTCCCACAAAGAGTTTTTTGCACAGAGATAAGAGGTGTTGGAACGCCTTCACACGTTTAATATAGAAAGAACAACATGGTGCAGGGTTTGTAGGAAACCTGACAGAAGCCCCAGCCACCAGCACCATGTCTGGCCAGGAACATCCCACAGGGGAGGGATGCTCCAGTGCCACGCTGAGGATGGAGCTCTGGCCACCTACAGAGTATTTACACCCCAGCTCCTGGGCCTGTACATGTTCAAACTTTAATAGGGACAGATAGGAAAAGCACTATCTTACATATGAATAAATTTACTCAGGGGTACATTTATGTTAAATGAAGTGCTTCAGCAATGTAATTACGGTTGAAGTGTACTTCAGGTAAATTGGAGAGCCTGTGATCAGATAGACTGTCAGCACCCCGATGAACACTGGATTTCTTTGTTGTCTGTCCGTGGTCACCTACGACCTTCTGCCTTTACATTTAGATTGCACATTTCCTGGCAATTCCATTCAGTTTTCACGTTGCACTCGTAGAGCATTTGCCCTCCCCTCCTCAGACCATGACGGGGTCTGCCGGTTGCTATTGCAATAGAAGTCTGAAAAGCTCTGGTTTCAATAAATGCATACACAAAGACATCGTCAAGGGCCAGGAAAATCGGAAGTACCATTTTTTGAGCCCGTGTGATGAAGAGGTGAGAGGAACAGACTAAAGACTAGAGGAGCTGTGCTGTGTCGAGACTCCTCACAGCCCAAGCGCCCGTTCATTTCCTGGCTGAGAACAACACAGGTTTTCAACAAAGTCAGCTCCACGTCCACAGGAGATGAGTAGTTTCTTCTCAGCTCTCTGTACGAGATTAGCATGATCCAGGAGAAAAGTGAAAAGGATGAGGAAGAGTCCCTTCAGCAGTGAAGTTTTCCTAACCTATTTCTCCTGCCGAAAACACGGGGGAATTCAACTGATGTTTACGCTCTCTCCTGGTTTCTCTTTTCATATCTCTCACCTCTTCTAACACCTTCTAATTCATTACCCATCATTTAACATTAAAATCTATTTGCCATCCAGCCCTGACAAGCCCAGCTCTGCCTCTACAACTTCAGGTTTCTGATCACCTTCATTTCTGCTATTATTCCATCTCCCCTTCTCCTCCTGCACTTTTCATTTCCTTCTGCTTTGTCCCTCTCTGTACAAAGCCATTGCTAGTCCCTGCAGCTGATGCTTGACCCCCCACCCTGGCTCTTGAGTAGTGTCTGAGTACCTTCTGGATTTTTCTTGTTACCATACAAGTATATTAACATCATCTTTATGCATGCCATGTCCTGCCTGAAGCCATCCTAAGACTCATATCCTGCTGGTACCTGCCACCTTGCTTCAAATCCCTACTCAAAACCGCTTTTTGCTGTGTTTAGGAAATAAGAAATAAAACCTGATTGTGGTAAGGCTGCCGTGCAAACAACTAAAATCAATACCTGTTTTACATGTTTAGACACATAGAATAATAGAGTTGTCCAGGTTGGAAGAAACCTTTCAGATCATCTAGTCCAACCACCAACCTCACTCTGATAAAACCCATCACTAACCCATGTCTCTAAGCACTATGGCAACCCGGCTTTTAAATCCCTCCAGGGATGGGGCCTCAACCCCTTCCCTGGGCAGCCCAGTCCAAGGCTTAAGAACCCTTTCCATGGAAACATTTGTCCCAATCTCCAACCTGAACCTCCCCTGGGGCAACTGGAGGCCATTTCCTCTTGCCCCATGGCCTGTTCCTTGGGAGAAGAGACCGACCCCCCCTGGCTACACCCTCCTTTCAGGGAGTTGGAGAGAGCCAGAAGGTCTCCCCTCAGCCTCCTTTTCTCCAGGCTCAACACCCCCAGCTCCCTCAGCCTCTCCTCACAAGACTTCTTCTCCAGACCCCTCACCAGCTCCGTTGCCCTTCTCTGGACCCACTCCAGCCCCTCAATGGCTTTTT